ACAATGAGTCCAGATAAGGCGATGACACACACAGACTGCTGCAATCACAGTGGGTACGTGGTCGGCTGCAAACCTGCTCAAACACAACTCTTGGCACCGTGCCTGCCCTAACGGCCTATTATTGGCTGATTTGAGTGGATCCTGGGTGTGCCTATCGATTGCGTCCAATAACGTTTTTTCAAGCCTCAGCCCCTCACATTCATCACACCACACCACACGCACACTCGTTCTGCTCGCTGTTCCTGTGCTTGCTCCTTTGAGAAAGTGTGCTCACGCTTGTTCACTGACGCAAATGCTACATGGGGTAGAAAAAACCAACCACACTATTCAAGCAAAACGCACAGTGTACACTTGATCTTGTCACACCTGGTTCTGCAACCAATTCGTGTTTGCTAATTACATACGATCGTTTTGGATAAACCGATTAACGGCAAGAGGTAGACGTCGGTGTATTGTTCCACCACTACTGCTATTACCAAGACCAATACCACTCCTACTACACCACAACGGACAGACATCGATGTATTGTTTTCAACCGCGATTGTGTAGTTTAATACGAATCGAAGTATATATTTTTTTGCTATGGTTGTGTTTTAATTTCAGACTGAAATCCAACTGACGGAAAACAAAATCAGCTCAGTGCAGACAACTGGAAGCCCATTGCGTAAATGATTTGCAAATGCTACTGCAGCATAATCTAATTTCCTTCTTTTACTATTAGTCATATTTCAAGCTTCTTTGCACTACTAATGTCAGCAAGTGTGATCTTGTCTTAATGGATTTGGCAAATGTTCTATAGAAGGGAGCAACGTGTGGATAGCGCGCAGTCAAAACTTTTTCTGATCGACGCATCAAGTCTGCCACCTGAAGAACAAACACCGAATGTTATGAGGCAGCTTCCCGATACCATCTACCGTTGGCACTTCTGGTGTTGCCTTCTTATTGTCCTCGTAGGCCATTCTACCCGAAGTAAACAGACGATTTGCTAAACTCACAGCAATTCAATATGTCTGAGCCTTTTTTCAGAACGGTTTAGAAAACCCGCGACACAGCACGACAAATCGTGGTACAACAGACAAGGCTTCATCGACCAATCACAAGCCAGAACTCTAAGTCCCAGAACTCTCGAATTCCCATCTTCTTTCTATTGGTCCATGCGCCTTGTTTCATTCAATTTCCTCATTTCCTGCACTAGCCATACATAAGTTGGCAGACGTAAACGTGTGCCCGGCCTTAAGGTGAGGCAGTGAGAGGTCTCTGCTCGGGATCTCGTCATGTCTTGTCCCAGTTTGACGAGGCGCTGTTCCACGCTTTTTTCACTGAAGAGATTACTGAGTGACCCAATTTTGCCAATCCGACTGCATTGTGCCATTTGAAGCACCTTAGCTACACACCGGACCTTGATATTAGAAATCACAAAAACCAAAATCAAACGTATTCTCGGTTTCACAGTCATTTCATACCAAGGAAAACGTCCAAAGTGTGCCAATCAGAAGAGCATCAACTATCTACGGCGACAGTATCTGTATTGTCTTTTGCGGTGGATACGTGGCATTCTACTATTTGTCTGCACTTCCTTCACTGCAGCATGATTCAATATCCTTGTTTTATTATTAGTCATAATTCCACCTACTTTGCACTATTAATGCCAGCAAGTGTGATTTTGTTTTAATATATTTGGCAAATGTCCGATAGAAGGGATGAACGCGTGTGAATAACACACAGTCAGAACTCTGACTGATCCAAGCATTAAGTGAGCCACGTGAGGAGCAAACGCCAAATGTTGTGAGGCAGCTTCCCGATACCATCCACCGTTAGCACTTCTGGTGTAAGGGGACAGGCAATTTGTAGGAGAGACGAAGCAAGCAGATTGCCACATATTGGTATTCACCTGCCAAGCATGTAGCCTTTGTGTGTGTGTGTGTGTGCGTTAGGGAATCTGTCAAGACGAAGCATTTTGTCAAATGGGGTAGCGCGTGTTGTACAATTTCCGCCACTTAAGTCAAAGAGATTAAAAGATCGACTCAACACATCAGAAAGCATTAAACAACTGTATTATTCATATCATCAAACTAAAAGTCAGGATTCTGTTAATGATAATTTCATGTTTGCTGGTCAGTGCGTATAACTCCGATAGTAAAGATTAAAATTCACGTTGTTTCTTCTAGCTATTTTGACGATCGAGTAACTGATAAGGAAATCTACATGGACGAAATGACTGACTTGACGCATCCGTGTGGCCCACGACGCATATGTTGCCTGTACGCGCAGAGCATGAAAATGCTCCACGCCTCACAGTGCAAACAAGCGCAACGAAAAGTGCCACTTGCTTCCCTTGTTTGGTTTGTGTCGGGATGTTTTGTGTGTGGTTTCGGCTGACAAGATGTGGTCAAGCGAGATGGGAGAGGATCGGCGGCTCGCCCTACTAAACTGAGCTTGGTACCACCGAGGACCTCAGACTGGTCTATTTTGGTGAGGCATTCAGTCTGAATCTCAGGTTCTGTTTCAGAAGTTGCCGCAGCCGCATTCTGAGTACTCCATTCCTTAAAGTTAAAAGGCTTAAATTGTGAAAATGAAACTTGGATCGGTCTCTACTCAATCATTTGAAGTAACACTTCTTAAATTCCTACTGCTGAATTATCCAGGAAGTCAACAAACTATTTTTTTACAAGTGACTGGACACTGGTACTGCATGCTGAACAGAGATGGCTTTTCCTGTGAACCTACTGCAGCTTTGAAAAGAGTAGTACCTCAGCGCTAAAGCAACTTCATTGGGCCACGCCTGAGCAGTAGAAAACGTCTGATTATCTATGTGACATTCTCTGACACGAGGCTGATCCAGGACAGGGCCTCATGCACAAACTCGATTATATAGTCAGGTTTGCCCTGCACTGACGTCATGCTAACTGAAATGGTTGGTGGGTTAAATTGTTCCTTTGAAGGTCAGTCTATGGACAACGTATTCACATAAAGACCAAATCTGACGAATAGAATGACAATTTATTGATCAACAACCCAGTGTCATCTCCATCTCATTACAAATCATCTGCACATGCGTCCTCGTGCGTGCATGCCAACGTGTGTCAAACCAGCCGATATGCCTTAACTGCACTTATCTGACTCCACTGCATAAATAAGAGCAACGATGAGATTGGAAGTCGACGGGTGCCAGCTATAAGCAATGTAAGCAATGTGTACACGTAAGGGGCATTTGAGGCCTAGTGAGTTTAGGTAAAATTAACGGCAATTGGTCTTTGTTTAATGTGCTGATGAATCACTGGTTATCCCCTGTTTGATGCCAAGTACTGTCCTCTTTAGTAAAAGCACATAATCTAACGACTTTTGGAAAAAATGCAAATAGTCAATTGGATAACTGGAAGTCAAATTTATCAGGCATTTTCCCAGATACTAGAGCACTTTATACACTCTTGCAGTGCGAAGAGATGAATTCAATGCGCATTACACAAGCAGCGAGAAATCGCAGTCTATCGATTTGTAGTGGCATACGTAGAGTGCTTTAACAACGCTTTAATCTTATTCGCTATAAGTGTGCGCACGCTCACATCAAACTGCATAAAACTGATTTATGGAGGCGTTTAAAGAACCACCACATATTGCTTTACAACAAAATCACTCAAGCAGGTGAGTGTGCTGCCAACTACGCATAGCTTTGTAACGCGTTATTGAGAAAGGCAATCATACATAACTGTTGTGATATTTTGGCTAGTTTTCTACAGCACATTTAAGACAAAAATGGCGCTAGAGGAGCAATGGACGTTCACGGAGCAGCCCACCAGCCCAATACCTTTTGACCATCTTGAGAAGCTGCGACATCGAAAGAAACTGCTCGATTTCATCATAATCGTAAGTTGATTAGTTTGACTGCCACTGTCACCTTAGACGAAAGGCGGACGTAGGGTGCGAGCTAACCGTTTTCTGCTAGCTATGCGGTTTCCACGCATCGCGGACACTATGGCTGCAGGTGATCGAGCATACATGGAGTGGAGGCGTTTCAATGCAAAGTAAGTTCGAGTACAGTTCATTGCACGACTCAGTGTTGTAGCATTGTGGAAGCAGCCGTGGCATTCGCCTACACCGGACGCGTCCAACTCACCATGAGCAATGTGGCCAGCCTCTTCCTTCTGTCGACAACGCTGGGCTGCTCAACACTCACGTCAGGATGCATTGAATTTCTCGAACACAGGTAGCTGAGCTCACAAGTGTGCTTGTCGTAAATTCCTTCAAAATGTTTCTTCTGCAGGGAGTGCGTCCTTTGATTTAAAGCATCTCCTACCTTTCTAAATTCAACATTATGACAACGGTTGTGGCATATTTTCGAATTTGTATCCGACAAAATTAGTTAGTTAGTAATTATGTTATAGGCTCTCAGAAGAAAATGTCGAAATCTTCTGGACAATTGCAAACGCCACAATGAATTGTGAATTAATGAGTATCTGCGTGCCTGTGACTGCTGGCAACTTTGACGGTTTTACCAGTCGCTCAACGTTTAACACCTCAACAGACGCCGAAATTCTGGCCTTGATGCTTAAAGACGATCGACTATATGACGTGCCTGAAGACTCGAAGTTGCGAGTTATTGCATCGTGGTGTGCAGCCGCAGCAGAAGAGGAAGATACGAAATTTCAGGTCGATTGTTTCAAAGACCTCGTTGAGTCGATCAACCTAAAAAAATTTTCCATGGAGGCTTGCGCCAGTCTGTATGCATCAAGTCCAATGAAAGGTCTTCCAGAGGAATGCAGGTATGTGAGCAATGCCAACGGATCTTTTAAAATTTTGTTTTGTACATGGTCACCTGTAACCTTATTCGTTAGCTTATTCGTTGTCACTCAGCTGATAACTAAAATTCCTCCCTCGTTTGCTACCACACAACTGAAATGTCAGTTAAATTATCTTCATCTTTGTGCGTTTTTCGTGTTTAAGGGTATGTCTTATTAGTGCCTGGATGTCGGCAAAGACGTCGACGAGACCATCAGACGTTGCCTCCTCGCAGAGGTGAGCACATTTATGCACTTGGATCTTAGATTTGCGAATTCACACGACAACTTTGCTGCTCTGTTTTCGTTCTCACAGAAACGCCTTCCGAGACTACGTTGTTACCTACCAGTTTCGGGATGATAATTCAAAAGCGTTGTTGTTTAACGATGCATTAGAAGAGAAGACTGACGTGAATCTTAAATTTGAGGTGCCATCTCGCCCGGGGTGCGCAGTTACCTTCTTCAAAGGTGAGTTCTCGTAATCGGCAGTTTCGTGTTAGAAGAAAGTTGAGCTTTTATTATGGCCATATTTCATCTTTCGCAGACAGCATTTATATCATTGGAGGAAGGGATTCGGACGGTTGCGCCTCAAGCAAGGTAGATAAAGTGAACCCATTTAGTGGTGATATCTCCAGCGTGTCGCCAATGAACGTTGTCCGGTTTTTTCCATGTGCTGCTGCCAATAACTAGTATCTTTTCGTGATTGGAGGATATTCTCGCGGGAGATATTTGGATACGCGTGAAAAATATGACCCAATTCAAAACAGGCAAGTTCGGGTCATATTACACACCATTTTCTGCATTGCATTTCTATCACTGTACGACTATATTTATTTTTGAGAGAAATTCTTTCTCAGCACTTGTGTCTATTTGAACCCCAGCAGCATTGCATAGCACGGTTTTAAAACAAACCCTTAACCCAAAACCGCAGGAGCAGATTTTGCAACAGCAGAAGTTTCAACAATTTTAAAATCATCGTTAGTTTTGCATTGTTTAAAGATGGACACGGCTGCCGGATATGATTACGAGGCGGTCAGACACCGCAGCAGTGAACGTGCCCGATGTTGGCATTGTCGTAGTTGGTGGTTGGCAAGACCACATGAAGCGCAAGGTGAACTTTGTCGAATTGCTCGCCCCCAGAACGGAGGATGGTGATGGTTGGTCGTGGCGTACGCTTACCCCCATGCTGCAGTGGCGCAGAGGTCCAGCAGTCGCCTACTTCCACGATCACGTCGTAGTTGTTGGTGGGAATGATGGCGAGCATACCACCGTCGAGTGCCTCAGTTTAACCCCCAGTGATAGCGATTCCGGCCAATGGACGCAACTTTCTGCCATGAAACAAACCTTCAGTGGCCGTTTCTCTTTAGCTGCATTCAATGGAAGGCTGATTTTCGCAGCTTGGAATTGGAGTAAATTACTTTGATGTATTATTATTGAACGTTGAACAAGTTGCCCACCCCACGATGTTATTACAATGCAGATGTGTCTTATTTCATTAAGATGCTGCAAGCCGAAACTGCGAGCTGCTGGAATTTTTGCCGAAATCAGAGTCAAACGTAAGCCCTTTTCAACTGACAGTTGACACGTGTACTGCCCGAGCTCAAATCGTCTCTTTGTTGCAGGATTCTGAACTCGGAGAATTTACGTGGAAGCCGCTCCATAAAATAACAGCCGAGCGTGAGATACGTCTGCTAGTGCTTCGGAGGCGTCTCTGAGGGAGTCGATTTTTTCGTGCTATCAACAGTCCCTTGATAAATTATAATCAATTACATCGATTATAGGCATATTTCCAATATATCAAATGGATTTCTCAAAGAGGTCAATAGCGTTAGTTTTGAGTTTTTCGTTTGTCAGTTAGTTTGGTTTCTTCCCACTCGCGTACTGCAAATCGGTTTGATGATTAAACCATTGAACAACCTGCCAACATATGTCTGCGAAGTGCACTACGACCTTAGACAACGTCTAATGCAGCTTGCAGAATACGCGAACGTAGACAGTCAAAAGGCGCACGCCTTGGAAATGACTAAAACAGTGTTGTTTAATATTCGCGGATTTGAGGGACATCACACTCTAAAGTGTAATTATAATGCAAATTTCAAGTTTATGACAATCTAAGAAGCGGTGCTCTACGGAACCAATGAGATTACTGGAAGTGGTGGTAGAATTAAGCTCTAGTGCTTGTGACAAGTGACAAGATATTTAATTTAATGCCATTACTTCAAAGATCACCATGGGACATTGTGTGTGGAATTTTGTGATTAAACGAATGGCATAAGATAGACCGCTGCAAAAGAAGCATGATTTTTGTTGAGTCGAAGGGATGACACTCTGGCAACATTAAACTGATAATATTTGCACTGTGCCTGTATTATTTACCTGACTTCTCTTACTGTCCACACTCACCCTCTGATATGCTCATTTTATATTTTTCAAAACACGTTTGTTAACATCCTGTGTGGAATGACACATTACCCTGAAAATGTATTGGGGATTGTTGTTAAAATCATTTCATCACACGCATACTCATTCAAGTCTGTTCACGCCCACCTCATAAAAGGCTCCAAGAAGCGCTTCAAAAAATCAATTTCGTGTCGGTGGTTCTAGTGCTTCATGGCAAGCGATCTTTCAATAAGTTTGAAGTGGCCGTCTCACTCGCCAGTGGTGATCGTGTCAGGACACACAGTGGCACAATGCAGACACACCTCATTCTCATCGTTGAATGCTTATGATCAAGGCTTCGTTACGCTCAAGTGATTTGCGTGTTCTTGGTACGTTGTCACTAGGTCTATTCTTAGATATTGCATACTGGTTGACCGCAAAATCATTTACGCACGGAGATTTCTGGTTCACAATTTTGTCAGTTTGGCTATATGCTAACAAATCGACAAAATGTTGCAAAATCCCAATCACGTCTGTGTAGTCTCATGTTTCATTGAGCCCTTGCATTGTAGAATTTCTGGCAAACGTTTGCACTTTGTGCAGATAATGAAACACACATGCTGCCAATAACACATTTTGCAGCGTCTGCAATGAAGCATGCCAATAATCTGTAAGGAAATGTAAATTAATCCGCTTTGCATGACTGCAAACATCCGCAGACTTTCAGTTTGGCAGTAAGAAATTTACACTGAGACGGGTTTGCAGAATACGCAAAAGTAGCAAGTTAAAACGCACATGATGTGGAAATGACTGCCAACAGTGCTGTTTAATATTCGTGGACTTGAGGAATATCACTCTCTAAATTGCAATTATAATGCGAATTTCAATTTCTTAACAATCCTTCTGGCTGCATTCTACGGAACCAAGGTGATTACTAAAACGTTGCCAGAATTAGGTTCTAGTGCTTGTGTCGTCAGTGACGCCCAGATAAGTGAAAAGACATTTGCCTAATGCCATTTATTCGCGGATCACCGTGAGACATTTTGTTTGAAATTATGCGGCTGGACCAGTGTTATAAAATGGACAAATGTAAAAGGAGTGTGGTATTCTTTTCTTGGAAACGAAGTGATGGCACTCTAGCAACATTAGACTGGTAATATTGGAACTGAAACCGTATCATTATGCTGATTTGTCTTAATGCTCACACTCATTCTCTGATTGAGTATTTTTTTTGCATTTTCTCATTGCACGGAGACAAGACTTTGTATTTGAAACATTATTGTATAATAAGTTTACTTCCTCGTCTGGACTCAAACGTTACTCTGAATATTTTCTTAAATGACTAATAATAGTGTGAATAAATTGTGCCGTGTGATTGAATGTTCAACTTATAGCGGAGATAATGCGAGAGATGCAACATTTCAGATGTCTGCAAAGGCACACACAGGTCGCGGTAACCACAGTGGATACGTGGTAGCCTGCAAGCCTTCTTACACACAACTCTTGGCACCATGCCTGCCCTAACTGCCTATTATTGGCTGATTTGAGTGGATCCTGGGTGTGCCTATCGATTGCGTCTAATCACATTCATCAACCCTCAGCCTTTAACATTCATCACACCACACACACACACAGTCTGCTTCTTGAGATCGTGTGCACACGGTTTTTACACGACGCGAATTCTCTTAATATCTACATGGGGTAAACCAATGCACCCTTGGCATGTTTTATGATTAATAAGGGCAAATTCACAATTCTCTGCAGAACCTGGGCAACAGTGCTGCATGGTTAATGGAGTGTGAGTGGATCGCACGGTCGTTATCTCAAGCGCCACGTGATTTCAGCTCGAATCTTTGATTCTAATGATGGGCACATATTTGCACAGAGGACCATAACTAATTGTATATGACCACAAGAGGTAGTCATCGGTGTATCTTTCACAATCGCGATGGTAAATGATAAAGAAATACATTGAGTTGCTATAGTTGCATTTCATTTTCGTACTGAAATCCGATTAACCCAATGCAGAATCAATTCAAAGAACAGCAAATGATTTTTTTAATGCTACTTAAATGTTTTGAGCATTTATTTACTGAATCTTCGTACTTTACATGGTCATATTAGTTTGTCGTCACAGGGACTTACGATGGAAGTGTATAAGTCAGCTTGGGATTTTCATAGATGATAACGCTGTACTGACTGACATTCCACAAATCGTTTTCCAGATTACAAATCCAAGTGTAGTGGTAGTTTCCTCAAAGTCGACTGCTGCTGCTGCCTTCCTCAGGCACAAGTAACACTGCCTAGCCTAAACCAGCAACTTTGCTGTCTGTACCATCAGCATTGAGGTGCTCCGTGAACACATGGCCGATTTTTTCAGCAAATTGCTCACACATTATTGACACGGTTCTTTCAGGGTCGTGGCAGCTGGTGATCTCCAATAATGCGACTGAAATTCCAATGATTGCAGTTTAAACTGGCCTACACAAACCTTGTTTTACAAGTTTAGAAATATCCCGGTGAGCTTCTGCTCCCCGTCCTTTTATTGGAAGCAACAAACCAGTGGCATGAGCTGATTTTAATAGACTTTCACTTGCCAAAGCCGGCCACCCGTCGCCATTTGTCCGATTTCGCCAAATTGTCTGCACTTTCAGTCATTCAGTGGGTCTCATCCATCCATGTCTTTTACTACGTGTTAATATTTCTACCAGGCCATTTTACCGCAATTAAACAAACGATTAGTTAAACTTACGGCAATTCAATACGGCTGCAGCTTAGTTCAACACGACGGAATGTAATAAAGCCACACCAAGTTTATGGCCACATTACGTTCTTCAACTGGTGACACCAAATATGGTGAACGTGGCATCTTGAAGCTGCTGTCATTCCTCCCGCCTGTACATTACCTTTAACAAACCTCATTAAAGATTTCTCAGTAGTCTATTTCTCAGTACAGTTTTTCACTTTTCACTTTCTGCCTCAGTTTATGCACACCGACTTACTTATCCCCATCTTCTCTCCATTAGCCATGCACCGAGAGTGTGACCTGTGAATCAGTGATCGCTTGAAAGCTTTCGAACGGAGTCAGCAATGCGGACATCGGGTCTCAGCGTTGTGCCAAATAAAAAGATTAGGCAAGGTGGGGTTACAGGAGATAGTAGAGAAAGTTCTTCGTTGCTTGGGCATGTGGAAGGAACATCGGTGGCTTCCGCATGAACAGCTTCGTGACGATCTGTGCTTACAGTACCCAGCGAACCATTTTATCAATTTTGAAAAATTTGTTGGCGCATTCTACTGCCTCAAAGGGGTCATCATAGGGTGACTGCGAAAGTTTCTTTAAACGTCCAAAACAGGCATTTGGTAAATTGTGCGAAGCGATTAGATGGAAGAGAACTGGTAATGACAAGCTTCGTCTCGCCGCATTAGCAGCTAGTATGCTTGGGCACTAAAACACATTCCTTGCACTTCAATTCAATCACAAAAGAAAACATGGGGGCAGAGAGAGAGATAAAGGAGATAGTTTAAAGGCTGCATTTGCTGAGGGCTTGTAGCACGTGTAGCGTGATTAATGGGATCCTAGCCGGGCTGAGCAGAAGGCAGCTGGTAGGAAGAGGCATGGACCATGACCCATATTTTCACTGGAAGTCTTTTGCAAGTGTGTAAATAAGCATTTGCGAGAGCGAATTGAATTGCGCAGCGACGCGAATCCCAAACACCACACCAATTTTCACCTAACCATCCACCCACCCATTCATCCATCCGTCCATTCCTACATCCCATGCCACCATTTGGCACCTCAAGTCTCGACTGCCCATCACGCTGTTCTTAGGCCCCAAAGGCGGCCATCGCATCCCTTCAGCGCGACACAACCCTCAGCATCCTCACACTGGTTCCAACCATCCACTGTTTGTCTTATGCATCTGCATTCACATTTAGTCTACACACCACAAATGCAACTCCACTAACAACAACTACAACAACACCAATTGGTACTGCTGTTCACACCAGGACTATGCCTATCAAAGACCTTCACAGAAAAGACTACAACAGCAGCAATCTCAGTTGGTAGCCCTTAAAACGACAGTGAATGCGTTTAATGTTTTGCTGCGATGATGATGATGATGATGACATGCACGACTTGCATGGAGTAGCACACTGAACCAACTCTTCATTACTTGGAGCCAGTGTACTTCGTCACAGCCCTGGTGCCATCCGACACCGCGTGCTTCACCGCATTGCACGTTTTGACGGTGAATAATACCGCGCTGTTGTGTCACAACAGTTGACGGTTGTTCTCCACTTGGCAGAGGCGGTAACTGATGACTTGGCGAAAATATCAGATATTATTTCGAGGTAAAATCGAGTATTCTGTCGATTAGAGCCATTGATTGTGTGGGCTACTAAGATCTACAATTAAAAAAACAGTATTGACAATGAATTGTTCTTACAAATCTATTTAACACCAGCTAAAATTTA